CTCTGTAGAAGTTCTGCTGCGCGTGGTCCAGGCGGCCCCACTCCTCCCGGGAGAGGTACAAAGCCACATCCTCAAAGGTCACCGGCATCTGAACACCAGAAGCAACCACGTCACTGTTTGGGCCACAGTAGGGGGACCAGCAAAGGGATAATATGGCGTCACAATGAGTGGTTCAAGGACTGAAACTGGCTACCAGAGGAGGCCGCCTAGCGGATCCGGATCAGTGGGTGGGACACACCCAGAAATGGCCTTAGTGTGTGCGTATATCTGCGCGTGTATGCAGGAGTGTGTGGCCAGAATAAGGCAGTTGTGTAGAGCGGAAGACGAGAGAACGAAGCGTCCGTCTTGTAGAGGCCCACAACCACCCCCCACAGGTTTCTCCCCAGCTACTCCTCAGGTGGAGCCCAGACGCTGGAGGGAGAAGTCACACTGGTAGACGCTGCCTCTGCCATCCTTGGCGTCTGCTCCAGCGTGGGCCCTGGACACAATGCTGGGTATCTGACTCGTCAGCCCTGCAGTGGGCCCAGAGTAGTGCTTCCAGCTCCAGACGGCAGGTCGGTGTGTCCAGACCTTCACAAGACACCCAGCAGGGGCTAAGCACCCACCCACGGGAGTGGAGGAGGCCCGTCCCCGCTGGGGGAAGATGGAGGAGGGGCAGAGGGATCCACCCACCTGGGACCAGGCAGTGAGGAGCGCTGCAGCCATTTGCCAGTCTCTGGTTTTCCCCTCCCGGGAAAGAGCTGGGACCTGCGGAGAGGGGCGGGCTGGGGGAGGAGAGGGGACCTCAGGCGGCCGGCTCCCCTGATGGGCCCTGCTACCCCTGAGAGGCTCAGCCCTGGCCTCCAGGGACATCCATGCTCCTTCAAACTCCACCTCCCCCTGGGCCTAGGAACACGGGTGCTATGCTTTGAGGGTGCATGGCAGGCCTCTGCCAGGACAGGGTGCGGGCAGACATGGGAGGCTATCTACCCACACCATGGCGGGCAGCCCTTCCACCCTGTCCAGGGCCAGGACCCTCACCCTGGCTGTGATCACCACTGTCCCCACTGCCACCGCCCTGGGGAGCGCCTCTCTGCTTGCCCTCTGCTCACCTACCTTGCTCGCCATACCACTGCTCACCTTCTCATCTCCTAACCTCTGCCCTGCTCACCGCCCCATGCTCACCACCCCTCTGCTCACCTCTCCCATGCTCACAACCCTGCTGAGCTCCTCCCTCCTAACCTCTCTTTCCCTCCTGCCTGCTCACCTCCTCTCTGTTCCACCCGCCTACTCACCTCCCCCTGCTCGTCACCCCCCTGCTCACCTCCACCAGGCAGGACAAGAGCGTTCTTCTTGGAGCTATGGCTCAGGGGCGCCCACCTCCGTGAACTCAGAGCCCCTTCCCCCTGTGACGCCCCCGCAGCGTGCGGCTCTTCGGGCTCGGTCTTGATGTCAGGTGATTCCTGAGTGACTCCTAAAGACACCGTCCTGTCCGACTTGGAAAACATTTCTTGACAAGGATGCTTCTGACCTGGAACCTAGGAAAGGCAGCCCCATCAGCACCAGATGGCAGGTGGGAGAGACGACCCCAGGTTTGCTTTTAGGGGGCTGTGGCAGCAGAAACTGAGCGTGTCAGAAAGCATGTGGGATTCACGGTGCAGCTTTGGAAACCATTGATCCTGTCTTCTTCTCTTCCCTAAGGACTCACGAATCTCCCCCACAGCGCAGCAAGGACAGGGCAGCAAGGGTGGGGACAAGGCCACGTTCAGCCTGGCCACATGCAGGCGCCTGGGGCCACACGGTGCAGTTCCAAACCAGAACAGAACCCATTGCTGTTGAGTCCATTCCAACAGATCACCAGGCCTTTCTTCTGTGGCACTGCTGGGCGGGTCATAACCACCAATCTTTAGCCTAGTAGTTGAGGGCAAACCAGTTACTTCACCCAGGGACCTGCAGTGGTGCAGTTACATCTCAATTCCATCCTCTGTGCTAGCACAGTGAGGGGCACAGCTA